CACTTGAGAGGCGTCATGGCTCCTTCCGTTAGTACCTTCCATGGTTAAACATTATAAGATAGTATTCTACTGTAAGCCGTTGTACTTGGTACTAGTCCTCATTGTTCAGTGAGTTACAAACTATGTGCAATAAGTTTTGTAAAGTTGCTACAGTACATGTACAATAAGTTATATCCTAGAGTTCACATAAAATAATTATATTATAAGTTGCTATAAAGCATATTCAGTATTCTTTGGTGCAATAAGTTTTCTAAAGTTATTACTGTACAATCAGTTATATCCTATTAAGGGAAGAGTAGGAAATCAAACGGGCTGTGCACTGCGGTCATTACCGCGGTGTACCGCAGAACGCCGGGGAGAGCCGCGGACTGCTTATAATTAGGGGTCTCTACCGCTGTACCGGTCTCTACCGCGGTCCTCGGTAATGTGTGAAATACGTACTTAACAGTTTCTTTGTGATTCCATGAGTCATTGTTTTAAAATCCGATGCTGTAAATGAATACGATATGTGCGCTTGTTTAGTATTTAGTACATGTATTTAGCGTAACACTGGAATAAAGTTTACAATTGAAAAGAGGACGATTTACAAAGTTTCAGCGTATCCAAGCCGTATCCTGGTTCTTGATTGATTTGGCAGTATCATGTTCACCATTTGTGTCACACTCCAGAAAAAATGGCCAGCAAACGAGAAACGGGCGAACTAATCAAAACAGGTCAGGCTGTCTGCATTGCACTGACAATGACATGATTATTTATTTTCTGTTTCGTTTCACAAATCTTGCCTTGCGCATGTATTCTTGGTTGACAGAATCTTTTTTAAACAAAAGACGTTATTTTTCTGTTACATGTTCGTGTTCCATGGTACTCGTGAGTGTGAAAGGCATTTTGAATGAATAATTATTGAGTTTATGTACGCGCGTACGATAACGCTAGCTGGCTTGATTAGAATTTCATTGCGTGTGAACCGCTGAGGTCATTGCCCATTACTGTGCCAACCGCACGTAGTTCAAAAGCACCTGACGTTGTTTTGTTTTTTTTCACAGGAAATGTAAGCGATCGAATACTCTGCGTTCAAAGTACGCTGCCCCGAGTTTGAAATTACAGTAAATTGTAACGCATGGATTTTATTTACATGAAATTTAGTTTATTTCAAAATGATATAGATGTCAAACCATAATTATTATTTGAAATGTTGTTTCTTGACTTGACTTTTCTGGCTTTAATGTTTTGTGTGTGCGTTTTGTTTACAATATCATTATCAACAACAGTTATTCAGTGGCCCCGTCTCTGAGGCAGTAAGTCGCGGTTTCGACTAAGTCGCGTAGTTCGATGGCTCTGGACGATTGTATTGTGTTTTGCCGTCAGTTTTAAAGTAGAAAAACTAAGTCTGGTATTATCGCGTATTTAATTGCCCGCTCAATCAGTTGGAGGTGACAACTTAACACCTACAGACCGTCAATTACTGAAATAGAAAGGGTGATAGCAGCCTGACTCGAAAAATAAGTTTGCGTAATTATTGCAAAGGCAACGCATTATCAAGTCGGCAAAGTTGAAATCTTCATAGCCATTACGTAAGCAATGGAAAATAAGTTTGCGTAATTATTACGAAGGCAACGCATTATCACGTCGGCAATGGTGAAATATTCACAACCAGAACGATAACAACGCAGGCAACGCAGAGCCAGTAAAAATTTGCGTAATGGGATGTGAATAATAAAAAGGTCAACGCGCGGAGCGCGAATGGTCACCAAGGTAACAACCCACTTGTTCAGCGCGTGACTTGGGGTTAAACTTGGGCCAAGGTTTATTAGATTAGTCAGTTTCGCCAAGAAGTGCGCTATTTTTTTCGCTGATCACCCAGTTGTTGTAGTATATATTGTAGCACCAAGTGTGTGACACTCCCTCTTCGACTTCGGCTTGCTTTTCCTACTTAGTGCATGGTCTCGAGGTAACGTAAACTGCGGCCTCTCATCGAGTGTTTTACTCTCGGAATTTATACTTCGCCCGATTATATTGGTATACGCGAAACATTAATCTTTTAAAATAAATCCTGAGACTATACATGATGTAAATTCAAAATAATGTGATAATATTTTACATTATGTGGGGTCTACATTATTCTGGGTTGCTTTGCGATGTTATACCAAGACTCGTGAAAATAAAATAGTGTTCTTCTGCGAACTAATATAGACGATTTTTCCAATCTTCTGGTACCACTCGATTTTATTATTTGAACTTGGCGGCAAGTAACCTTTAGTTTCCCAGTCTATTGTGTCCATTCATAGTCTTAACAATAGGGTGTAAATTGCCATGCGAGCCGACTGCACACGACCGCGGTAAACCGGGGTCATGGAATCTATGCATAAATTTGCATAAAATGCGGTCGACCGGCGAGCACCCACCACCACCGCGGTAATGACCGCGGTAAACCGCGAGTTTGATTTCCTATTCTTCCCTTATACTCATTAGGATGCATGTCCATGAAAATTTGTTTCAAAATCTGGTCAAGGATGGCCGATTGACAGCCATCTGACTTTTTGGCCTTAATACTATATTTCCACAATTTATGTACCATTTTCATTCATATTTAGCACATACATCATACATATCAGTGTGTTTCATAATCAGATCAAAGATGGCCGAATAACGGCTGTTTTTATTTTTGGCCATATTACTATAACACGGAACACGTGTTTTGATGTAAATAAACAATCTGTTGTATACGCCACTTGGAACTCAAGTTTCAAGGACACGCTCGGGACAACCCCTCCGCTTTAATATGACGAGCACAAAGAGAACTTAATTTAACGGGGACTTTGTCATTTTTGACTCCCGTGTGCGAAGCACAAAAGGGAGTCTTTGCAGTTACCCTGTCTGTATGTCTGTATGTCCGTATGTCTGTATGTATGTATGTATGTATGTATGTATGTATGTATGTATGTATGTATGTATGTCACTTTTTTTGTTCCACCGTTATCTCAAGAACCACTAATCAAATTTTGGTGAAACTTGGTACATAGATGCTCTGGGATAATGCGCAGAGTTGATTAGGTTTTGGTAAAAATCTATGAATATTAATTACCTAATTTGCATGATAATTAGCTGATTTTTAGC